GAAGGAGGACGGGGGAAACTACAGGCTTGTCAGCCTGACCTCAGTGCCTGGCAAGGTTATGGAGCAGATCATCCTAGGTGCAATCACACAGCACCTACAGGATGGACAAGGGATCAGAGCCAGCCAGCATGGGTTTAGGAAGGGCAGGTCCTTTCTGACCAACCTGATCTCCTTTTATGATCAGGTGACCCACCTGGTGGATGAGGGGAAGAAGGCTGTGGATGTGGTCTATCTGGACTTCAGCAAAGCCTTTGACATGGTTGCCCACAGCATATTTGTGAAAAAACTGGCAGCCCACAACTTGGACAGGGGCACTCTGCTGGGTTAAGAACTGACTGGAGGGCTGAGCCCAGAGAGTGGTGGGGAACAGTGCTGCATCCAATTGGCGGTCGGTCACCAGTGGTGTCCCCCAGGGATCAGTGTTGGGTCCAGTTCTGTTTAATATCTTTATCAACAATTTAGATCAGGGGATTGAGTCCACCATTAGCAAATTTGCATATGACAACAAACTGGGGGGGAGTGTTGATCAGCTGGAAGGCAGGAGGGCTCTGTAGAGGGACCTAGACAGACTGGAGAGTTGGGCTGATTCCAACGGGATGAGGTTCAACAAGGCCAAGTGCCAGGTCCTGCACTTTGGCCACAACAACCCCCTGCAGTGCTACAGGCTGGAGACAGAGTGGCTGGAGAGCAGCCAGGCAGAAAGGGATCTGGGAGTTTGGATCAACAGGAAGCTGAACATGAGCCAACAGTGTGCCCAGGTAGCCAAGAAGGCCAATGGCATCCTGGCCTGTATCAGGCATAGTGTGACCAACAGGACCAGGGAAGTGATTCTTCCCCTTTACTCAGCACTAGTGAGGCCACACATCGAGTGCTGTGTCCAGTTCTGGACCCCTCAGTTCAGGAAGGATATTGAGGTGCTGGAGCAGGTCCAGAGAAGAGCAATGAGGCTGGTGAAAGGACTTGAAGACAAGTCGTATGAGGAGAGGTTGAGGGAGATGGAGTTGTTTAGCCTGGAGAAGAGAAGGCTAAGGGGAGACCTCATCACTCTCTGCAACTACCTGAAAGGACGTAGCCAAGTGGGGGTCGGTCTCTTCTCCCAGGCAACTATCAGTAAGACAAGAGGGCATGGTCTTAAACTCTGCCAGGGGAGGTTTAGGTTGGATATTAGGAAGAAATTCTTTACAGAGAGGGTAATCAGGCATTGGAATGGGCTGCCCAGGGAGGTGGTGGTGGATTCTCTGTCCCTGGAGGTATTTAAGAAGAGACTGGATGTGACCCTTAGTGCCACAGTCTAGTAACTGTGGTGGTAGTGGATCAAGGGTTGGACTTGATGATCTCAGAGGTCCTTTCCAACCCATCTGATTCTATGATTCTATGATTATGATTCTATGATTAAAGACTCTGAGGTAGATCTGGATTGGCAGCACAAGGGAGAATTTTTTCTGGCCTGATGGGCCCATGATGCCTCGTCATCAGTGGAGAGATGCAACATACAGATAGGCTCGTGACCGAGGGGTGGATCTAACCATGGACAGTGTCTCACAGGTTATCCATGACTGTGAGACGTGTTGCCATCAAGCAAGTCAAGCGGGTGAAGCCTCTGTGGTATGGTGGACGATGGTCGAAATACAGGTATGGGGAAGCCTGGTAAGTTGACTACATCACACTTCCCTAAACCTGGCAAGGCATGCACTACATGCTGACCATGGTAAAAACCACCACTGGATGGCTGGAGATATACCCTGTGCCTCACGTCACTGCCTGGAATACCATCCTGGGCCTTGAAAAGCAAGTCCTGTGGTGACATGGTACCCCAGAGAGAATTGAGTCTGACAGTGGGACCCATTTCAGGAATGGCCTCATAGACACCTAGGCCAGAGAGCACGGCATTGAGTGGGTGTATCACATCCCCTACCACGCACCAGTTGCTGGAAAAGTTGAGGGGTGCAATGGACTCCTGAAAACCACCTTGAAGGCACTGGATGGGGGGACTTTCAAACATTGGGAGTTGCATTTAGCAAAGGCCACCTGGCTGGTCAACAACTGAGACTTCATCAATCGAGCTGGCCCCACCCAATCAGAACCCTTGCATACTGTAGATGAAGTCCCCATGGTGCATATGAGAGGTATGCTAGGGAAGACTGTTTGGATTAGTCCCAGCTCAAGCAAACCCATCCAAGGGATTGTTTTTGTTCAAGGACTTGGTTCCACTTGGTGGGTAATGGAAAAAGATGGGGAGGCACGTTGCATACCACAAGGGGAATTAATTTTGACTGAGAACTGTCTGTAATGTTTTATTGTAAATATATATGTTTATAGTTTTAAAGGGTGTTAATTTAGGCATGACATAGATGGTATAGAATAAGGGATGGATAATGTCCTAGTTTGAGCAGTTGATCACTGTGTGGGTGTAACCCAAACTATGTATTCTAAACTCTCTATGTCATTTCCCTGAAACTGTTAACAATAGATCATTTGCAGCACCTGCCCAGAGCACACCTGACCCCTCAGACTATAAGCTGGGTGTTAAGAGGCCTGTGAGATAGGGGAATGTTCCTGTCCTCACACCCACAACTCACAATCACCCACTGTGGAACTCCCAGCCCTGGGGGAGGTGCTGGGCATTCCTGTCTGAACCTGGGTGTATATAATCTTGGGATCTTGAGACTTCTGGTACCACTCATAGGATCCAGAGGAGGACCAGAACCTCGACCAGATTGCAACCACCACTCTCAACCAGACTGTGACTATCACTCGCACCAACAGGTTCTTCTGCTCCTTTTATTTTTAGGCTCAGGGGACCCACATGGGGCTCAGCACAGGGGCCAACAAACACCAGTCTTTTTGTGCCCCAGGGTGCTGGGTTATACATCTGGGTTTTTGTGGGTTATAACCAATTGTTCATCTGTAGAATTGTATTTATTGTATTATTTTTCTTAAATTGTAATTCTGACTTATAATCTCTTTTGAGCTGGGTTCATTTCTCCTGCCGGTCTACCTTTAAACCAGCACAATAGTTTTAAAGTTTAGCTTTGTTTCATTTATCTCCAGGAAAAAGTATTAAATTTTTTGTCAGCCACTTTTGATCCAGTTTCCAGCTCAGAAATCTAAACATCTCCATTTGTGCCTTACATCTCTCTTATATTCTTCATATTGGTCTATATAAAATTCCTGTATTTTATGCTACTTAAGGCTTCCTTGCTTTTTCAGTATTCCATATTTCTTTGCAATTTGCAAACACAGACTGAATGATGGAGAAGTTTAAGTCTTTGAAACAACAGGCAGTGTAGGACTCCTTCATGTTTTTCATTGGCATCAAATATTATATACTTTCTGGAAGAGACTGGATGGAAGGGACCCAGAAAAGTAGAGAGAAAAAAACATTGAAGCTGACAAAACAATGTTGTCCAAAAAGAAGGGTATTTTGTTAGATAATGATACTGCAACCTGTACTTATAGTGAGTCTTAAAGAGTTTCCCTACTTGTGTAATCTCTGAAAAGCTAAAAGGGTATTTAGAGATTACTGACACTGAAATTCAATACATACTATTAAAAAATGCTGAGCTCTTAAAATCATGACATTACCTAAAAATACTGGAAATCAGAAAGCATAAATAAAACTCACAGAATAAACTTTATCTACATGCATGCAAACAGACTCCTTGACAGGAGGACTGGGACATTTAGCTTGAAACATTATATGTTTATTCCTTTATTCCTATATGCTCCATTAAATGCCTTTATAAGTTACCCTATCCTACATTTCTGGCCCAACTTGGTGGTCTCTTGAGCAATGGGGTGGAATGTGGGGAGGAAGGGGTTGAAAATGGAAGATTGTTGAGGAGAAAGAAAAATAAGTTGGTTTTAGAATTGTTTTTGCTTAGAGACCAACTTTGCACCTGGGAGATGCTAAAATACTCTGTGTGGGAAATTTCTGGTATTTGTGTTTGCTTTGGGTTGTTTTCTGTCTGCTGAAAGAAATGGAATTCTCTCAAAGAAGGTAACAGAATGTTGATAAAGACTTAAAAGCATTCTTTCCCACAGGCCTGGGGAAGGGAGATAAGAGAGTTCAGAGATTATAAAAACACAGCCTGGTGAAGGATTGCTCTGGGTTAGACCCTTTGATACGTAAGGCAGGGCACAGACCTGTTTGGATTTTTTGCCCCTGCTAAGTTTGGGTTAAGCTTAGCAGTGTATTTGTGTCCTTGAGAATAATGGAATAAATCTACTCTTCACATTTCAGCTGTGGTTCATGGCCATCTTGGTGTTACCTGCATATATTTAGTTTCCAACAATGTCCCTTCCAACCCAAAGCATTCTAGGATCATATGAAATGGTAAATATATAGCATAACTAAAGGAAAAAGTCACTGTAATTTAAAATCTTTATGAAAGTTTCTTAAAATGCACATTGATGTATCATGTATTGTACTTCTATTTATGATTTTATTCTTATATGGAAAACTCTGCATCACTCACTTTTTGATTTATTAATGGGACAAATTATATTTCCTCCCCTTCTCATGCTAAAATAAACACACTGTCCTGTACTTTCTATGTAACCCTAATGTGGCAATACTTGAGAATATTCTTAAACATACACAGTTGAACATGTCTATTGATGAATATTTTTTTGTCAGATCAGATCCTAAAAGCCCATAAATCCATATACAGTGTTATATTGACTTAGGCAAATACTGACAAAAAACCCAAAACACGAAGTTGGACACTGCATAATTAAGACCCGCTCCATTGCACACAGCATCCAGTATTAGCTACTATTGACTTCAGACACAGTGTCAAGATACTCAGTACCTTGAAAATTGAGGACAAGTATTTAACAAAGGAACTTAGATTTCCTCTTTTTTAAAATAAATTAAATCTTGACCTACAAAGATAAAATTTACAACAGTGTTATAAACAGTGAAGCTGGTAAGAAAAGCAGCAGAATAAGATACTCCCCTATATTTCTCAAGCTTTAGAATTATTTATAAATATCACCTGAGTAAACAAATGATACGCTTGACAATGGACTAAGGTAGATTCCACTTCCAAATATTGCACCATGGAGCTGAAACAAAGCAGAATGACTGTTTAATATTAAATTGATTATCTGGACAAAATAATAATAATGATAGACACAGATCTTAATGTAGTTAAGCATCTGCTCCACTTCACTAATTTATTGTCATAATAAATGGTGTTCAAAGAAGTCTTTAAAAAGAATCATGCTTTGAATATCCAATTAAGATACCGTATATTCTGGAAAACATGTTCAAATGCCCAAAGATAATTTTACATCATATTTACATATAAAATTGTTGTATTTTCTGTTTTTAAATCTAACATTACCATGAAAGATGCCACAGAGGGTGTTTCTGTAGATGGCCAAATACACCTTACCCTTAACAAGGCTGAGCAAGTTCAGCATGTGTCTCACATCAAAACCTTTGCAGGAATCACAACCTAAGCCAGACTTTTTGAATCAACATCACCAACAACTGCTTTTCTTTTCTTTAAGGTAAGAAATTAAGAGATGGTGATAACAGTCATATGCTATAGAAAAATTCAGTCACTAGTTCAACCTGAGTACTGGAGGAATGGGTTCAATCAAGCTTTTGCCTGAGCCAATTCAGACTTGCATATCCCATCATTGTAGGCCTGCACTTTAGCCACAACGCTATCAGCTCTCTGAAGAGAGTAAAGGGAAGACTTCTTCATTAGCATCACTACTCCATGTCAGGGATGAAACGAGAGCAAGGCGTAAAAGAGTTAACTGTGATGTCTTGCTCTGTTGAGAAAACCCCCCCCAACACCTACTCTGCCTGAATTGCTAAGCAAAACTTGTTCTGTTCTGCTCACTGGACCTAAACCTAAGAAGAATGCTAGAAACGCTATACAGTCAACCTAGAGGCTATAAATTTAAACTAGGTAGACATTTGAATAGAAGAAAAGGGCTTAGAGCCAAGGGTTTTTGCAAGCTTCAGAAGTTGGGACAAGAACAATAGAAAGCTAAGGAGGTCAAAGTGAAGAAGAAGAGAAATAGACCCCCGATTTGAGACAGAAGGCCGGAACTACCACCGCCAAGAGAAGAATTTTGAAAGCACCGCCCCAACCTCCACCCAGACTCACCCTTATTCCTTTCCTCTGATCCAATGACATTACATCATCTCTGCAATGTACCAGAGTTCCCATAGGAATGTGCAATCATGCTCTCACTTCTCCAGATCCTACAATGTTGTATAGGATCCCTGGCGAGTTGATATTTTTTTCCTGACTGGTTGGTACTGGGGTTAGCAGAATTAAATGGGCTCAGGATATGCCCCAGTTGTGTGAGAGATTAAAAAACTATGACTTGTATGAAAAAGAACTTTACTGCTTTCTCCTCTTCCTAGTATCTCAACCCTGAACAAAAAAATAAGCAGGAACAAAGGATTTTATTTTAGTAAATTTTAGTGTGTAAATCCTGCTTTTTTGGGAAAGTATACTACAAAGATGCTAATAAAATCACCCAAACCAGTAAGAGGAACAGCAGAGATTTCCATTCCCTTTTTTGAGTGATTCCTGTTCCCTGATTCTTAGTCAGCACCCTGGGATCCTCCTCCAAGGTATCATGGACCCAGCTCCAGGGAAAGAGCTGTCAAAACCTTGATGCTAAAATACATTGAATTACAATTCTCCAGTCTCTCTGATACTGCCTGCTTTGCTCTGCAATAGTGATGTCCAGATGATTCAGTTTGAAAAACTAAAATGAACTTTGCAATAGCTCCCTCCTGGCTAGTAAATCCATATTCTCTTCCCAAGGAAACTAGAGAAGATGCTGTAAACCCAGCTTCTGTAAACCTAGTATGCTCATAGTTGCTATAACATAGACATAGTTTATGTAGGTCTAAATTTTAATTCCTGAGACTGCTTTTAAGCAGTACTGAGTTAAGCTTCCTGGAGGTGCTGCTGTGCAACGTAAAATTGAAACACTGATACCACCTATGGGTGTTTTAGCAAACACATTATTTCATTTTAATTGCTTCAGAAAAGTACCTATTCAAAGAAACATGAGCATATTTGAAATCAGCCCTTTTTTCCACCTATATGACTACCAGAACAACATCCCTTGAAAACTCATCTAAGCTTAATATGTAATCAAATGTGCATAGGTTAGCTAAAGTCTATTTAGTCTACTATTTACCTGCAACCTTGTATTGGAAGCAACAACTAAGCCATTCCTGAGGATGGAATGCCAATTTTCAATGTGTGAACCACTAAAAAAGTGAAAGAGAATGTGTTAAAATCCACAGTGTAAAATGCAAAAAGAAATCGGTAATTCTGTAAAACAATAAATTCTCATCTGTAAACCTCAAATGGCAAGAACACAAAAATAGCATGGCATTTTGGTAACCTTTGATTAATACGAATATATGTACTCACTGAAATGCAAAGGTACTTCCATAAAGATTTTTAGCAGCTCGGAAATTGGATTCTTTGGCTGGTGGACTGCTCAGAAGTAGGAACTGGTGGGGAGTGTGCATAAACTTTAGTTGCTGTAAAATATGTGTACAAGTGAAAAGAAGTTGATTAACACAAATGGATTGTATTTCCATAATGGTAGTCCTTAAGATACCATATGCTGCTTCACACAATATATGACTGCATCTAAATAACTACATGAACTAAGTTGAAATTGGTCTCATTACCACAGTTTTACCTGAAATCAAACAGTAAAAATGTCCTTCAGTTTATGAAACATATGAACATTTCTGAAACAATTCAGAAGTAAGGTTCAGATTTGAAAGGCTGCATATTACTACGCCCTTAATCTGAGGATCAAAGGCACACATACTCAGAAATTAATTTCAGCACCATCCCTCTAAAATTCTAGAGCTATATTCTTTCTTACAGTGTATTCATAAGTGGATCTCCTTGTACATCATGTCTGTGTACAATTTTGTATTTAATATTTGTGTCAGTTTAATGAGACAGAAGTGTTTGCTAAGGAGGGTGCGTTATGAGGAAGACCAAGCTCCTCCCTCTAAGCAATTGTAAATCTGAAATTAAGAGGCTTCAGTCAAGGAAATGTGGAGAAAGAAAAAAAATAACAGCCCTTTATTGAAGAATATATATGCATAGGTAACACAACAAAAGAAAAAAAACAAACAGCAATCCTTCACCCAAATTCCCACCAAAAACAATTAAGTACTTTTTGCCTTTTGGAAAAATTCTAACCACAACCAACAGGGGGCGCTGTTGGATCTCTGGAGGGGGGGAGACTGCAGTCGCTCTCCGACGGTCAGCAGGGGGCTACGGCACAAACTACCCGGAGCTCAGATGCGGCATGCTGAGCTCGGAGAGAGGATGGCCACGCAGATCAGTCTGCTTTCCATGGGAGCAAAGAGTGGAACCGTCTGTACAAAAGGCTTCTGGGCACCTGTCGGCTCCTAAGGCCCCACTGCAAACTTGGGAGGCACCACCCCCAGAGACTGTAGCATGGGCTAAGTAAGGCGTGCAGAGGAAAACTGAGGAGAAAGGGCTCTAGGGAAGCATCCGGCCAAGATGGCACTTACTTCTCTGATGAAATCCGAGGCAAGTCCAGGCCATGGACAGGGCATAAGAGAATGGAAGAGAACCAGGGCCAAAGGCAGCCAGATGACCCGGTCGAAAACTAAATGAACCCCAGGGCTCCCCCTCCACACACACACCTTCTCTGAGCCCAGTAAAAGTAAAAAAGTGCTGTCTCCACAGGAAAAACCCACCTCCCCCACAGTTTTCCGAAGCAAGTAGTCTGGAATGTGCGACCACTCAACCAGTCCTTTGTGCGTATGGGGCTTTGCTCTGTTCATCCCTTCCCCCCTCCTTTGCTCAACACCTTTCTTTCACAATGGTAAAGGGAAAAAATTCAAAGCAGGGGTTTTTTTCTTTAAATCAAGAAAACCTATGACAATATTCTATATGGTAACAAAACAAATAGCAACATTCTTCTCACCCAATATCAGATGACTCCAAGGTAAACACTTGCATTTGAGTAACTCAAATAGGCTTTTTCTGAGCATTATTCCTTTGGTCTATTTTAGATATTCACATGATTCTATGAGTCATGGTCTGAAACTGCTTATTTCTCTCCCCTGTCTATTAATGGAACCCACGTGATTAATTTGAATGTAGACAGATTTGGACAGGAGACACCCACCTAAAATGCTAATATGAGCCATGAGAAATGAGAAAATAACAAAGAACCCACAGACACTTACCCTATTCACCGGTAGTTTCACAATATGTGATCTATTACTAGAAATGACCCTAAAATAAGAAAGTTAGATGCATTAGACATGATAACCAAACAGAACTTTTCTTCTTGAGCATGTTTTATGAATGGCCACCACAAAGCACCCAGCTGCAGACCTTTATCAAATGGAAGCAGACCAAACCTTTGGTGCCTAAAAATTTGTAGGCATTTTGTAGATTTTAATATAGCTGTATAATTTTCTTTCACTTTAGACACTTTAGACAGTTACTAAAATATTTTCTCATGGTTTGTGCTACATTCCAATGAATTTCTGTTTAACAATCTTTGCAAGAAAATTGATTTTAGCAAGAACATCCTGTTTGGGACGTACACCTGGACCGGAATAATAAGATATATTGTAGTCAAAACAAGATAGAGGGCCCAGAACCCTTGGAGGGGCTCCAACGGGGCAGTTCTGAGGGTGGTGCCAGGGGCAAAAATGGTTTTTGGGTTGGATGTACCCACTAGATATGGTAATTAGTTAAAGTTATAAAAGTGTGAGAATTCTGTGTGTGTGCCTATGTACTCCATACACCTGAAAACTTTCATTTAAGAACTACTCTCTACCTTATCTATATAATATTGTTTGGAGAGTTTTTTCTTCCATTTTAGTCATTGCCTTGACTACAAATCATATCTGAGGCCATACAAATAAGATGGAGTTCTTTCAGTATTTTCAGAAGGCCCAGATGGGGACCAGAAACAGCCCATAACAAAATGCAGTTGCCAATGTCAACCCTGACATTAATTCCTAGGGTGAGTTTATACCAAATTAAACTTGTGAAATGATTATTCATTCAACTTGTTACTTTAATAATTATCATTTCATGTGAATCAATTTTATACCACTGTAGAAGAGGATGTGCAAGTGGATCTTGTTTGTCCATCTGCTTCTTTATTTCCAAGTAAGGTGCCTAGAAGAGAGTAATTATGTTCTTTATTTATAGTTGAAATAATAAGGTTAAATTTTATATGTTACATTCCCCATCTATTAAAATGAATACACGGGACTCATTATTAGGCTTAAATCATAGTTTTACTGACATTTAGCATTGTGCCATTATAAATGTGTTTTGACAACAAGAAGAATTAATAGAGCAATTACTTTTCCTGGAGTAAAATAATAAGCATATAATTGCCATCAAAATGTGTAAATTACAGCATACATTGGTGACCTTAGGGAGAACAGCAGAAGATGTCTATTTATGATTGGCTCTTGGAATAAGAAATTGGACTGGAACTTCACAAAATTAAGTCTCTTGAAATACCCCAAGATAATCCACTCCAACTTGTTAACTGTTTTATGGCATAAACTGGCAAAATAAAATACTGTATCAACTTATAATCTCTTTGAGAACATTTTTTGATTTCAATCACAGAGCAAAGCATCTCTTTAAAACTCTTCAGTCCAAGAATTATTTAAACATTAAAAAAAGTGCAAAATGGTGGTTATTTTTCTTTTAAAAAGACACATTAGGTAACAGAAATATCTTTTTTTTTTAATTTTTAAAAGATGTTAACAAAAATATCTGAATTTTAATTTTCAATTTATTTTACTGCTCTCTATACACCTCATTCTTCATTCCAGAACCCTAAAGTACTTTATAAATACATATGGAATAAGATTTATAAACCTTTGTGAGGTTATATTTATATAACAGTTGGAAAAGCAAGGTACATGGGAGAGGTTTCAATAATCACTTCTAATCAGCTGGGTTGTTTGGGAAAAGGAAGTGTAATAATAAGTACGGCTATCAGATTCTGTCCCACTGTGAATATTCCAAGTCCCCAACCATATTTAACTAATCAAGTGTTTTGTTATAATAGAAATAAATCTATCATTCAGAACACTGTCACAAAATCAATTTCTTTTACTTAGGAAATAAAAGACACAGTTTGATATTTGCAGAAGTTGGTGATCGTCTTGTTACAATGTTCCCTTTTTCCTGTTATTATCTCTTATTTAAACTTCAAAAGATCTGAGTTCTACTTCATCACTTTTATTTGACTACTATTATGGATACTCTAGGTTTGCTATTTTTAACACACATTTTAATACTATTACAGTTCTATCAGAAAGAGATGATAATATTGACTTCCCCACTCATCATAGGCAAGCAATAAAATCATCTCCTAAGTTTTAGAAATGACGATTAGGTTATCTAAAGGTTTTTAAACTCACCTGCGTCATCTCTCTAATAGAGGTGATACTATCCAATGCTTTCATGACTCGGTCATAATTCTTCTTCTGATGTAGCATAAAATAAGCAAATAAATTAAAAGAATATTGGTCTTTGGCTCTACAAAAACATGAATTCTTTGAGTGTTCATAAAACCAAAGTTAAGACCAATGTTCAGCAAACCACTTCTTTCAAATATTTCTAAGCAATAGATTCCTTCCACCTTACACACAGACTCTGTCATTCACAATCCAGGAAAAGTCCCCGAAAAAATATTATCATGTTAGTTTTTCTTCGAATTTCACTGGAATCTCCAACACTCAACAATGTGACTCACGTAAAAAATTAGGCCACTTTTTAAACAAGTATTTGTAACTAAACACAGTGTTTGCCAGTTATTTGGACAATATACTATTAAGTTAAATAAATTGAGTGAAAAAATAGATTCTAAATAAAATACTAAATAAGCCGATGTGTTTACTTTGCTAACAACTCTATAAAACTTCAGAGGCATTTCAGCTTTCCCTCTGCCTCACACTGAGCCTTGTCTACCTTCTCACTGGGAACTGTTACCAGAGGGCTCCACCTTTTTCTGAGCAGATGAGCTTAACAGTCCATCTGTCACCAGTTCCACATGCCATGATGCCTTCGGGAGCATCATTGTTCCCCATCTTTGGGTCTTGTCAACTTCTGCCCTTGGGCTTTCACCTCGCCCATGCTGGCAAGAAGTTGGGAGGAGGTGGTGTGGACCCTGCCAGCTCAGGAGCTCTCTCCTTTTCTAGTGTGATCCCTTTTCATATTCCCTCATCTGCTTCAAATCCCCACCCTGCCTATCTGCCAGACTAGCTGTCTCCTCATCATCCCCTTTCCGAGATCCTCCTGGCAAGTCTTCCTTCCTGAACGCTACAGAACACATTTGCCCCTTCCTCTGAGAAAGACCACTGCTAACTGACCTTTGCTCAGAAAAAGTGAAATGCATCACAATTCAGGATGTCCAAAGTTCTCACTTATGCCCTCGACATGGCTCAAGTGAACTGTAATAGTTCACAGCTTCTCTAGGGCTTTCCTGAGAGGCAGCATTTGCAGCTTGAGTACCAAATAGTGCAAACACAATTCTTTACTTCGAAATTGATGCTTGTAAAAAACTTGACTGTCATGTCCAACATTTCAGAAAATCACAGAATCAATTAGGTTGGAAAAGACCTCTGAAATCATTGAGTCCAACCTATGACCTAACACCACCTTGTGAACTAGACTATGACACTAAGTGCCACATCCAGTCTCTTCTTTAACATCTCCAGGGATGGTGACTTCACCACCTCCCTGGGCAGCCCATTCCAATGTCCAATCACTATCTCTGTAAAGAACTTCTTCCTAATTTCAAACCTAAGCCTCCCCTGGTGCAGCTTAAGACTGTGCCCTCCTGTCCTACTGCTGGTTCCTGGGAGAAAAGACCAACCCCCACCTGGCTACAACCTCCCTTCAGGTAGTTCTAGAGAGTGATGAGGTCTCCCCTTAGCCTCCTCTTCTCCAGGCTAAACAACCCCAGCTCCCTCAGCCTCTCCTCATAGGACTTGTCTTCAAGTCCCTTCTCCAGATTCGTTGCTCTTCTCTGGACCTGCTCCAGCACCTCAATATCCTTCCTGAACTGAGGGGTCCAGAACTGGACACAGCACTCGATGTGTGGCCTCACTAGTGCTGAGTACAGGGGCAGAATCGCTTCCCTGGTCCTGCTGGCCATACTATGCCTGATGCAGGCCAGGAAGCCATTGACCTTCTTGGCCACCTGGGCACACTGCTGGCTCATGTTCAGCTTCCTGCCAATCAGAACCCCCAGATCCCTTTCTGCCTGGCTGCTCTCCAGCCACTCTGTCCCCAGCCTGTAGCGCTGCAGGGGATTGTTGTGGCCAAAGTGCAGAACCTGGCACTTGGTCTTGTTGAACCTCATTGGATTCAGCCCATCTATCCAGCCTGTCCAGGTCACTCTGCAGAGCCCTCCTGCCTTCTAGCAATTTAAAATTCAGTTTAAGGACAGAATTGTTTGTAAAGAGAAAATGAGATGACAGCAATACCCACTTTACGAATAAAAAGATGGACTAGAAATCCCCCAGTCTACATGGTCTGCACCTCCTTGAAGCAAAACAAGGCTTTAGAAGGGTTAATTGAAGCATCTTACTGCAAAAACCCACTGTTCTCTCCCCCCCCCCCTTTCTCTACCTTACTCAAAAGAGATTTTGTTCTGTACAAATTCTACAGACCTAAAAACCCACAGGTACATTGCACAAAGAGCCCAGAGGTAATAAATTATAGCCAAATAGGCTAAGGTAGACATTTGAATGGGTAAAATAGGCCTGAAGCCAAGGCTTTTTCCAAGCTCCAATGGATAGAACACGAAACAGTGGAAAGTACAGAAGGTGTCCAGGGTCACCCGACGATGAGGAGTAAATTCAAGACCCTATGATGAAGTAAAGACAGGATGTACCACCATAATATTCCTCAAAATAGAGACCACACCTCAAACTCTGCCCTGACATATTGTAATCTAATGATACAATAATATGAATACGTATGTGAATATGTTGTAATTGTAATTAGAAACTGTATAAATTGCTTTTTTTTACTCAACCATTTCGGAGCTCTTTTTGCCCAGACCTAGCTGGAGAGCTGCCTGATGTCGCTTAATAAATACCTGCTGTTTAAAGGCATAAAACTCTGTCTCTAAGCAGGTTTTACCAGCCTTTTGGGGCATCATCCTAATGGTCATTGTATTTGGTGTGGCTGAGATGGAGTTCATTTTCCCATAGCAGCCCTTACAGTGCTGAGCTTAGCATTGGTAGCTAGAAGGGTGTTGCTAACACACCAGTGTTTTGGCTACTGCTGAGCAATGCTGGCACAGCATCAGCACTGTCTCTCAACATGCTCCCCTGTATTCGTGCTTAATTAGATGTTGCTAATTTTGGTCTGTGTGTTGGTCCAACCACCTGTGAGAATCTCTTCTTTTCCTGCCAAGTTATGTGAAAACAAGCACTGATAAATTAGAACTTCATCCTTGAAGGAAGCATCTTCTATAAACTGAAATTAATTGGGGCCTCACTATTGGCTGACGGCCGTCCAAGGGCATTTGAAGGAGAAAGTGAAGAGGAGGGTGTGGGAAACAGCTGGACTGTAGACAGCTTAGGGTTTGAATTTGATCAGTTACAGCTGTGAACTTGTAAAAGAATGTAAACACCAGGAAGGTGGGAGAGCAGAAAAGGAGGAAGAAAAACTAAATAACAGGTGTTGTTGTGAGATACACCAGCGCATGAAAGGATGATGTTCACCTATCAAAGGATAAACCTGGATGTGTGGACAGGACCCCATAAACAATGAAATATAACATATATACACGTGGACAGAGAAAAAGACTATAAAACTAAGCCTATTGTAAATAAAGTTGTTGTTGCCTGCCAACCAGCTGAGTTTCTTTTTGTCCGCCGCAACTGGTGAGCCTGACGTAATTGATTACGAAAGGACCACGGACCGAAAGCAGGGTGGCAGAGCCCAGCGAAGCAAAAGCCAGTGGACCTTAGAGCCAGAGTCCAGTTGAATCTACTACAGACACCTTGGGAGAAGGTGAGCCACTGGGGACATAATGGGAGTGAAAATTACTATGGAAGAGAAGTAAATTGTGAGTATATTGACTAAAATACTAGAAAAATGTGGAATTAAGTACGATCATAGAATCATAGAATTAACTGAGTGAGCATCTTTTTGTCCACCGCAGAAAGGTGATGAAGTAAGCCCCCAGACTGATTTAGGAAAGACCTCCCGAGGTGTAGCACACAGGCATGGGAAAATTCCAATGCACACACGTGTGTGCAGAAAGGGCACCACTTACATAATGGGGGGAGGGACTGAAGGCCTCTAGCTGGGCAGTGCTGGCCACACCTGCTAATTGTATAAAAAGCAACTAGCTCGTGCTGGGAGTGAACTCAAGCTTCACATGGAGGCCAATGTTGCCTTTTGCAGGGATGCCCGCTATCTTGTGAGCCTGTCGATGCTCTGAGGATGCAGCTCTGCTATGGGGAATTCTAAGCATTCTGGGATGGGTAAGACAACCTCGTAAGTAACACCTGCGTGAGTGGAGGGTTGTGCTGAGGGCTTATTTTTCCCTTCTCTTTCCTGTCTCTCGGCTTCTCATTTTGTTGGCTACTTTTTTGTAATAAATATTGTTTTGTTGAGCTTTCAGTGGAGTACTGGTTTCAATTTTGGCATTTTCCCTGCTACACCCCCTCCATCAAGGGTGGGCAAGATCCTGGGGGAGGGACACACAACCAGGCCAGCTGACCCAAATTAACCAAAGGGGTATTCCATACCATATGGTGTCAGCTCAGATATAAAAGCTAAGACAAGGAGGAGAAAGGGGGGTATTCTTTTTTGCAATGTTTGCCTTGCAGAGGCACACTGCTTTGTGTGCTGAAGCCCTGCTTCCTGGGAAGTAGCTGAACACCACTTGCGGATGGGAAGTAGAGAATAAACCTTTTTTTTCGCTTTGCTTGTGCGCACACAAACTTTCACCTTTGCTTTAGTAGACTGCCTTATCTCAACCTGTGAGTCATTTTCCATCTTATTCTCTCTCCCCTGTCCAGCTGGGTAGGGGAGTGATAGAGCAACTTGGTGGAAACCTGGCATCCAAGCAAGGTCAACCCACCACAACCATCTTTGTGTCCAATGTGTACACTGAGAAATATACTAAGAATATAAAATTTTGCACATAGAAGTTGTACCCTAAAAGAATTGTAGTGGTTTTCTGTGGTTGGGTTTTGGTGGGGGGGGGGCTACAGGGGTGGCTTCTGTTAGAAGCTGCTAGAAGCTTCCTCTGTCTGCTGGAGCCAAGGTCAGCTGTCTCCAGGATGGACTTCCTGCTGCTGACCAAGGCCAAGCCAATTAGGAGTATTAGTAATGCCTCTGTGATAACATATTTAAGAACAGAAAGTTATTGTGCAGTAAAAATTCCGGCCAGGGAAGAGTGGAGTGAGAACATGGGAACAACAAAGTAGACACTGAGGTCAGTGCAGAAGGAGGGGGAGGAGTGCTCCAGGTGCTGGAGCTGAGGCCCTTGCAGCCCGTGGTGAAGACCATGGTGGAGCAGGCTGTCCCCCTGCAGCCCATGGAGGAGGCCATGATGGAGTCGGTGGATATCTGAAGGAGGCTGTGACCCCGTGAGAGGCCCAAGATGGAGCAGGGTCCTGCCAGAGATCTGCACCCCTTGGAAAGCAGAGCCCATGCTGGAGCGGGTTTTTCAGGGTAGGACTTGTGGCCTCTGTGGGGGACCCACACTGGTACAGCTCATTTTTGAAGGACTGACCCCATGGAGAAGTGACCCACAGGACAACAGTTTCATGAAGAACAGTTGCCCATGGGATGGACTCATTCTGGAGACATTTGTGAAAGACTGTCTCTTGTGGGAGGGACCCCATGGGAGCAGGGGAAGGACTACTCTCTCTGAACCACGTCAGAAACAATAAATGACCTTAACCCCCATTCCCTGTCCCCCTGCACTGCTGGGGGGGAGGAGGGAGAACATGGAAGGAAGGAGGGGTGGGGGGAAGGTGTTTTTAAGATTATTTTACTTCTCCCTCTTTTGCTCTGACCCTGTTAGTAATAAATTCAATTAATATCCCCACTTTGAGTCTATTTTGCCCATGAAGGTGATCAGTAAGTGACCTCACCCAGCTCTTATCTCAACTTATGAATCCTTCGCTGGTTTTTTCTCTCTCCTCTGTCCAGTTGCAGAGGAGAGTGAGAGAGTGGCTTTAGTGGGTACCTGGGATTCAACCAGGGTCAACCCACTACAAGAAGCTATTAACTTCAACATAACTTATGGTTTATTCACAAATACCTTCTCAGAGACAATTTAAAAAAACTACAAAGTTCTGAAAATTAGTCACACACTTGTGCTATATTCTGGAGCTGTATCTCTTGGAGTAAAGGAGACTGAAGAGGTTTTGCTTTGAAATCTAACACATGCCTCTAACCAAGCCACGGCATAATGAAAGATAAATACTTACCCTAGGGTTAAAGGCTAGCATCTGAGGATCATTAGGATCAACTACAGAAGGATATGGCTCAAAAATGACAACTTTCCTAGGTGACTCTAACGCAGACCGACACATAGATACTAACAGATCAACCACCTAGGGATAAAGAAAAATATTTATTTAATATATGTACTTTCATATTACATCATCCAGTCTGCTTTTTTTTACACATTAGAGTAATACTATATTTCATCGTTATCTATATTACTCAAACTATGTTATCCACAGGACATAGCTTAGGACTGAAATTTTTCCATTGACCTCAACAGGCTTTGGGTACAGCCCTGGTACATTACTTCAGGTGCATAATTAGGACTGGTATCTGGTCCTAAATGTGTTATCACATCCAATACATTGCTTGCAGTCCTGCTTTTTCTTGTGTACCTGTGACAATTCCTGGATGAAATAATTTTCTAGGGAAATGAAGTTGTACTGAATCTGTGTATCATTGTGCCAGTGAAAAATGTTGAAAGAGGAAGGAATTGTGAATCTGTACTGCTGCCTGATGTTCTCCCAAAGATTGTAATCATGGAAATACTAGCAAACATTGCTTCTGCTAAAGCCAGAACAGTGCAGTGATTTAAGTCATTTACATGGCTCACACTGGGAGATCCTCTTCCATACTTCCCATTGTACAGAATTATGACATGGTTTTGAATATGTATGATTTCCAGGATTTCACTGTAATATCATGTGTGTAATGTATACACAGACATGTATTCACATATGTGCACATAGGCACATACACAACTTAGATTTCTGTATAACTGTTTCAAAATTATAACTCAGAGGTTAAAAACAGACTACAGCAATTACAAAACTGAGAGAATGCAACTTTCTGGAAACTGTAAAACCTAAATCCAACTCATAATAAATTTCAAAATTGCTAGATAAAATCATAGCTGCAAATTAGCTCATTTCCCCCCAGTTTCTCTGTGCTTTCTGAAAACATTCCTGTGTGAAAACAGACTTTTCCATGAAAAAAGGAAAAGCTGAGATGAGTCGTATTTATTAGGCATCCCTGGTTCCTCCCACAATTCTGCATGGGTCAGATATCTCACAGCTCAAGTTCTTCTAGAAGTTATTAATATATTGCTTTTGTATCTGATGATTTAGAGTAAAAAAAATTGATGCCCATTTAGAGAAGCAGAATGAAAATAAGAATCATGAAGAAAGGGAAAAGGAACTGCTCTGTAGTGTCATACTGTTGCCATTCTCCTCTGCTCCTTTAGCATGAATGGACAATTTTCTCTATCAGTTTAAAAATGTTCTGTTAGTTCGTTACTAAATATTTCTCATATATTGAAAAATGAGGTTGTTGAAATAATGATTCCTTCCTCCATAGTGCTCTGATTTCTTTCCAGTTTATAATACCTACAAGCGTGATGAACATTTCAAAATAGGGCATCCACATAAGCATTTGCAGGGGAGACCAAGAGTCTGCATGCCCAGCCAGGTCAGGCAACAGGCCTGCAACTGGCAAATTACTATGAAATTGAGCATGAGTTAATACACCCTGCTTCTCAGAAGCACTTCTTAGCCTCCATTTGCAAAACACTACTGAGTTCCCAAACCTCTTAATACAGTGACCCAAAGTTGTCTTGCTTTATGATGTGCACAGTGGGATTTTTGTCTTAAAATTGGCATAGTTCTTCTTAGGACACAATCCCAAAGCCCTCCTTTAAAACAACTGTTGACTCCTATATCGTTTCTTACCATGATACCAGCATATTATTCTGACATGGGGGAAAACACGCATAGATCAGGCTTAATTAAACCCTTGATTTCCCATGAGATCATTTTTTTGAACTGTTGGAATGCAGAGCAACTTTGGGAGGTAAGTCTAATACAAACATTATAATACAAACTTGTTTATGTGTTCCTTGGTAATAGGAGGTGCTGTGGATCAAGTAAATGTCCTTATAGCTGTGCCTGAACTTCTCCTTAACAGTAGGTACTGAAATACATAAATCAGGATTTAAATATTTTCAAGGAGGACGAGATGACACTTGTTGATGGCAATTATCTCTTACGGCATTAATCTCTCAGACAGCACCTCTCTCTCTGCAAAGACTCTCTACAGGGAATCTGAACTATCAACAAATCAGACATTTAATTTTCAGGCATTTTGACTACATGACTAAAATAAGGCAAGGTGACTTCAGGTTTGAAAGTTTTAAAATGCACAGTCTCTTATTATTAAGAAGGAGCCATCAGAATATTGTGAGTGAAAAAGTAGGGATGTACACCTTAGGAAACTAGCTGAAAGCACAATAGAAAGTATAGGATGTGGTTTCTAATAATGGGAATCTATATTTAGGCTCTTTGACTACACAAAATGCTTTGGAGGAAGATTCATCTGATGAAATGTAGAGATTCACAATGTAAACTTTTCTACCTTTTACTAGTCAGTCTAGTCTCTCTTTATAATCAATGGAGAAAATAACCACTGTGCCGATAGTCTATGCAGTGATTCCCACCATCCTAATGTCAAAAATAACTCAAATGAATCAAACCCTAAAAAGTGTTAAATTCTTTCTGCAAACAGGAACCGGAGCTCAACCAGATAAGAGGTAGTGAGCTGGGTACAATGCTATCACTAGAA